CAATAAATAATTTAGGACCAAATGTGTTTTTAAGCTAGATTATAAGCTAAATCATCACAAACAAAAGATCGAAAGTTCAACTTGACAATATTTTTTGTTTTTTTAGAAACTTACATCGTTACAAATATTAAACTATATGAACTAGATCACTAGCTTCTAAAGTTTAGAGACTGAATCATTACCGGCTGAGTTTGAAAACTAAATCGTTATTCAAATAAAAATTTGATCAGAAACGTCTTTTTTTTAACAATATCTTTATTTAATACTTCTAGATTATAATACGAGCATGTGCTAAGTTGATGGTTAATAGGTATCATTAAAAATTTGACAAAATGATAAAAGAAAAACAACTTAGGGTGTGTTTGGAAGTGAGGATAGAATCAGTGATTTTGAAAAAAAAAATTATTTAAGTATAATTAATTTTCTAAAATCATCTTTTAAGTGAGGATAGAATCAGTGATTTTGAAAAAAAAATATTTAAGTATAATTAATTTTCCAAAATCATCTTTTAAGTGATACCTTAAATATCAATTTAAAGTGATTTTAAACTTCCTTAAAATCAATTTTTTAATTTCCCAAATATAATGAATAAAAAAATGGAGTCAACAACGACAAAAGTGATTTTGGTCATGTCAAAATCACTCACAAACACACCTCTATTGTCTATGGCATTATGGATAATAAATCACGTACACTTTTTTTATGCAATTATTTTTAATATTTATTTTAGTTCAACGGCATGTGGGGATGAGAATTCAAACGTTTGATATTCGATCATTGAATTCTATATTATCTTTGTGTAGGATGTATTAATTAAGATATTAAACTAAGTTCCAAATTTGCAGCCATTTAAAATTAGTTTTAGACCTACCACATGATTAAGTTTGTCACATTTTAGAGAATAGAAACCTAAAGTACAATAATTTCTCAAGGTGTGAAACTAAAAGTGTGTCTTCATTTTGTTATAAATCTTTGTACCCAAAGGAATCGTTAAATGACAAATTTGAAAAGGGAAGTATGAGGACTCATTTCATTATATTTTTATTATTCTTTTAATGAATTATAAATTTAACACATTAAATTTGAGCACTATATTTATTGGGTTCATAAATTAATAAAATTACGTCAATACACTATTTATTTTATTTTATTTTTTTTGTGAAAATGTTCTATTTAGTCATCGTTGAGCAGATATGATGTGCTACTTTCCAAGAGTTAAAAAGAGAACAATATTTGGAAATCTGAATTAATTAAATGATAAACTCAATATTAAAAAGGCTATTTGTTACACCAAATTTTCAGTCGTGTAAGGTAACAAATTTTAATCGGCACCCTTTCACATCTTTTTTATTTTGTTTTTTTTTTAACAAAAGGAAAGCAGATTACTCTATCAGCTTTATTAATTGAAGAATTTTTTTTTATTGGTTCGAGATGAACTATATATTGATCTCATTTAATCCAATGCAATAAGAATTATTAATTTTAACAATCATAGCTAATTTATTGATCCAAAGAGACTAGCTATGTAAATTGAGAGGGAATGAGTTCAAATCTGATGATTGTCATCTACCTTAGGAATTAATTCATTTGTATTTCTCGATATCAAATATTGTATGATCACGTGGCTGTTTCGTGAGATAGTCGAAGTGTGTGTAAGCTCACATTTGTCTTTACGAAGAGACACCTTAACTTCATATATCTTTTAATCCTTTTCTTAGATAATGTATAGACTATACATGCTGTCTTGGTGCATGAATCTAAAATTTTAGTTTAAAAGGTCAAATCTAAATAAATTTAGATTGAACAAACATCCGGATCCGGATATCCATAATAAGTAATCACAATTTTAATGTATTATATATTCTTTTATTATAACCCATCAACATATATAAATTAGTTGATGCTCAGACAAAGCAAATAGTCCACGGAAGATGACTTAAAATATTAATGGTAGAACAAAAATATTATTCCTATCCCTAATAACGATTACAACTAGTAAAGTCAACTCATATTCATAATAAATAAATGAAGGAATTTAAAAGAATTGGCCATAGACGTTGTGAGACGTCTCAACTTGTTTATAAATAAACCAAACAAAGACTAAGGGGTAGAGTTTAGAATATCAATTTTGTATTATGGTTGTAATTAAAAATAATATTTTACCTCTAACCTAAGCATACTTTTTATAGGCAGGCGCTTATGGTGAGGTATTAATCACCGACAACATCTTCTCCTGTAATCACGGTACACCCCGAAGATCAGACAAACATTAATTGTGGTGTATCCCTAGGATTACGGAGCTGGAAATGGGACGGTTGAATGTGGATGTTTGAATCGTCTCTGAAGTCAGTTTTTCGAATACCGACGTCCTATTCGAATTTCCTTAGAGATCTGGTTTGAATTTGTGCCACGTGATGATAGATTTTTGACCCTTCAACAAATTTCTTCCCTCCCGACAGCATAAAGCATTAATTATGTATTTTTCCTCCAACTCCTTAAAAGTGCTTTTAGGTTATCTAGAATTACGGTGATTGACAAAATCACTTCTGTTTTCATTGATGATAAATTAAAAAATTAATTTTAGGAAAATTTCAGATCACTTTAAATTTGATGAAAATATTTTGATGGATTTTGTAGGAAAAAAGATTATTAAAAATTAGCATTTGGGTAGGTTTATGAAACTATAGGCATAGCAATTGATAATATATATATATATATATATATATATATATATTTAATTTAGTGATGTATGAATTATGATTTAAAGTGGCATATTTTTGCAGTGTCAGAGAGTTGCATTTCTGGGGTGCCCCATCCACGTTTCCATGTCTCGTAAAAACCAACGCCAAAAATGTAAAATGCCTTAAAAAAATTAAAATAAAATAAGAAAGAAAAAGGCAAAATACTCTTGACACCCCACCCCTGCTCTATGCACCTCTACAATTACAAATATTTATTCTGCATCCTCCAATCAGATCCGTCCAACCGAACAAGTGGGCCCCACGAAGGACAATATCCTTCATTTTAAAAAAGTCTTCGTGGGACCCGCTAGGGCTGGGTTCACGCAGATGATTGAGGAGTGGAGCACGGTAAGAACGGTGTTAATGTGCCGCACGCTATAGGAACCCCCCTGGGTTTTTTTTCTCCTTAAATCTTTTATAGTTTTATGTTATTTTCAATTTGATTCGTGTCTTGAAATTCTCAACTTTGCGTATATTAAAAATTTTCAATTAAATGATTGTATAAAAACATCTATTTTGATTGGTTAAGATAAATGTATGTATCCTTAAGATTATACACGTAAAATTAAATCATTGTTTGATTAATATATTTGAACATGTCACTTAAACATGTTAATTTGGAAGAAATATATTTTATTGATAGTAAGTCGGATTTTGTTCATGGTAAGTTAAGTAGCGTAAAATGACATATCTATAAATCGAAATATGTTGACAAAACAATAGATTAATGGTTCTATCAATGTTTGGTTAACAAATTTGTTTAACTAAATTTGAAATTAAAAATTACCTAAAAGGTTATTGTATAGTCTCGACTTTTATGTCTATGACTTTGATATCGAAATAAGAAGTTAATTAATCAAAATTTTCATAATTGTGTAAAAATATTGATGAATTATACAAAAAAGTAAAAAAAAAAAACATCACTAATATAAATACAATATTATTAATAAAAAATTATTATGATTTTTTCTTGAAATATCAATCAACCATCAAAATTAAACTTATAAAGTATAGATTTGGATATTCTTGTATACATAGATATTTAAAATTTTATATATTTTATAAGATACTTGTTTCAAACTCCATTTTAGTATAAATTTATCGGTTCCAATATTGAATCCTTCGCTTTAATATTTATTGCACTGAAAAAAATAATATATGAGTTCATATAAATGGCACCTTCCAATTTTTAATCTAAAAAAAATTTAAAACTTTAAACTTACAAGATTACAAAAATTCCATACTTAAACCTTCCAGCGTAAAAATGATACACTTGAAGTTAAAAGATTTACTTTATCAACCGAAAAGAAAAACAAATAAGAAAATAAGAAAAAATAATAATAATAAACACGTTACAAAATATATTTTCAAAGAAAAAATGATTAAGATTTAAGAACAACTTTTTGTACTTGGCGAAGGAAGGAGAAGAGAAGACAGTAGACACGTTGCAAAATGAAAAAATGAAATTAGATTAATTTATTATTTAATTCGTTTTTTATTCCATACCAACAAACACAGTCCCAACTCTCCACTACTATAATATTAATATTATACATATAACATAAACAAACCGTCTCTCCGAGTCTCTCATCTCACTATTATATATATATTTGTTAATTATTATAAAAAAAAACTCAAAAGTAAAAGAAAAAGAAAATGAGCAGACTCTGTTTCAGTTGAGTGAGTGCGGGAATTCCAAGGAAGAAGAAGAAGACGACGTTCCCAAACTGAAATGGAAAATCCTCTCCGCTTCCTCTTCTTCGTCTCTGCAACTGCAATGTAACAATCTGATGCAGGTAATGGCCAAGTGTCATTCTAGCAACGTCGGATCAGTCGCTGTTGCCGGCGGCGCCACTGCTGCTACACGACACTTCCGATTCTGTACGGCGTTTTCCGGAGCTGCATTCCGCCGGAGAATCTATGACGCGGTTAGTTGCGGTGGGAGCTCTCGGTTCCGCCACCGCTACGAGGACGAGGGGATGGGTATCGATCAGCTGACGTCCGGGAGCGGATCGGCTTCTGAGGAGCCGCCGAGGAGGCAGAAAATGGCCAATGGGAAGTCCGAGAAGCTCGTGGATCTTCTGAATTTGGCAGAGTCGGTGGAACCGGAGGATGGCGTGGAGACGAGGAAGAAGGAGGAGGCGTTGGAGGAGTTGAAAAGCACGGTTAGGGATTTGCAGGTTGAGGATTTGGCGAGGCGGAAAGCGGCGGCCAGCAATGTGAGGCTTCTGGCGAAGGAGGATTTGGTGATACGACCCACGCTCGCGCTGCTCGGAGCCATTCCTCCTCTCGTCGCGATGCTTGATTTGGAAGACGAAGAAATTCAGATCGCTGCGCTCTACGCTTTGCTAAACCTTGGAATCGGCAACAACGCGTGAGTCCTTTACGATCTTATTTCTCTTCCTCTTCACAGTTGGTTTTGTTCTCTCTTCTGTTTGGAAAAATTCCCCTCTCATTTTGTTCTATTTCATGTCGTTTCCTCCATGCATTTCTCGGTTGATTTACTCAATCCATATATCTCTATTTCCCCCACATTTTCCATTGCAATCTCTGTTTCTGTCAATGTCTTTTCTGATTTGTAATTTCTCGAGGGGAATTCTTCCATTTTTCGCTTCCGTTCAAAACGGCAAGTCATATGGACGGTCTTTTGGAAATTGACTCAACTCCTTTCTTCGGGTAAAAACCAAAACAGAGGGCGTGTACTTTACAATTTGTTCTTTGCAGGTCCTGCACATTTTTATATACCGTTTTTGTATCAAGTTCTTGCCCATGTACAATCCATTACCTTAGGAGAACGGCAAATTCTGAATTATTTTTCCTACCCCATTGCAGGAACAAGGCAGCAATTGTTAAAGTGGGGGTCGTCCACAAAATGTTAAAGCTCATTAAATCAGAGACTCCGTCAAACTCATCGGTTACAGAGGCAATAATTGCAAATTTCCTCGGCTTGAGCGCACTGGACTCAAACAAGCCAGTCATTGGATCGTCCGGTGCGATTCCTTTCTTGGTAAAATTCCTGCAAAACACCGACCGTAAAACTAGCAATCAGGCCCGGCAGGATGCTTTAAGAGCGCTGTTCAATCTCTCAATTGCGGCATCGAATATCTCAATTATATTAGAAACAGATTTAATCCCATTTCTTCTTAACATGTTGGGAGACATGGAAGTGAGCGAAAGGATCCTTGCTATTTTAAGCAATGTGGTGTCAACCCCAGAAGGTAGAAGAGCCATAAGCATCGTTCCAGACGCGTTCCCGATATTAGTTGATGTTTTAAACTGGACAGATTCACCTGGGTGCCAAGAAAAGGCATCCTATGTTCTAATGGTGATGGCACATAAGCTTTATGGTGAAAGACAGACGATGATAGAAGCAGGCCTTGTGTCTGCTTCGCTTGAATTAACGCTCTTGGGTAGCGCATTGGCTCAGAAGAGAGCTTCCAGGATTTTGGAGTGCTTGAGATACGATAAAGGGAAGCAAGTTTCTGAAAGTTTTGGTGGGAATCTGGGTGCAACAGTGTCTGCGCCCATTATTGGGACTTCATCTTCTTCCAAAACCTGTGTGGAAGAATCTGAAGATTCCATGAGCGTGGAGAAAAAAGCGGTGAAGCAATTAGTCCAACAGAGTCTGCAGTACAACATGAGGAAAATAGTGAAGAGGGCCAATTTGCCTCGAGATTTTGTTCCTTCAGAGCATTTTAAGTCACTCACATCAAGTTCAACTTCCAAAAGCCTACCATTTTAACAAATCAGATTACCATGGCAGATCTAAAGCTCTGTTGAGCTTGTGTTATTAGTGAAAGTAATTAAGTAACTGTCGTTAGAGAGAGAAGTCTTTTAGTCTTTTGTTTTTTGGGTTTTGTGTAAAAATAAAATGGACCTATCTCTACTTCCAAATTCAAATCACAGGCAACAACCAGATCCTGTATCAAATGCTTTGATATCTTCCCTGGCGGTCGAATTGTCCCAAGATTGACAACTCCTGTGGCTGTTTTCAGTCCCAAAAGAAGATCAGGAGAGCAGTGGGTCACGTTCGACCCACCACTACAAATCAGCTTACCTCAGTGAGTCAGTGGCCCCTTCAAAATATAATGTAATGCACATCACATATTTTCTTTTTGATGGCCTTTCACATGCTTTAAAGTACCTTGGATGATTCAAAGTTTTCACAACAGAAAGTGAGAGAAAATTTTCTTGCCCATCTCCACCAACAAATCTTTTGTTGTGGGCATCCAATAAGCAGAAGAAAAGTGGACCTGTTCCATGAATCGGTCCTATTGTTTAATTAATACTTGCTGATCCATTTTCTGCTAAACTATGCACAGATCTGGAGCAGGGAACTTGCTGAGCTGTTTTTGGTAGAGGCATAATAACATCCAAGGCATGTCCTGAGCACGAGGTACTGTTTGTAAATATAGAATTGGGTGACTCCACTGTGTGCTATAAGCTTATATTAAACTAGAGTTGTGATTCTATCTTATCTTTTGGGATGCCCCTGTGTATATTATTCATCTGCTTGGGCTGTAGTTAACTTTAAATTATGTTAATGCGAGGCATTTTTGTCAACTGAAATGCCCATCTCATTTTCTACCATGAACAGTTTGTGAATCTTGACCCTCAATTCCATGTGATTTGACTCGTTCATTTTCTAGTTGTGATGTGACCTGAAATCATGGCTGTTTTATACTCAAATTCAATCCTTCGGTGTTCATTAGTCAAGTATTTTGAGTAGATCTGCTTGTGGGGTCTGCTCCTGTTAAATGCCATTGTGCTCCACCATACATCTGAAGATTAGCTGTGTATCACAATATGAAAGAAATACTGAAGTTCTAATGGAAATTTGAACTTTCCTATTGAATATTTATGAAGTGTTAAAAGGGAAAAAAAGACTTTTTTTTTTTTTTTTCTAACTGGTGGAAGTAGAGGCTAATGATTTGGATATGGGTAAAACTTCACCGTTGGAAAATTGGCAGCTACCTATACAATTTTCTCCATTTCTTTATGAATTCATCTCTGTTAATTGTCATTTTTTTTAAGGAGGTAGATCGGAGATGTTTACTTTCTAGATTGAAATCTTAAATCAAATAGACTTTAGTATATGATTCCAAAAAGAAATTATCCGTATTAATTGTGATATAGTAGCATGATTATTTGTTGAGGCTTATTGTGTTGTTGCTAAAGGCAGACAACAAAAGTTATGATGATTGTAATAGTTGTCAATGATAGTTCAATCTACAAAGTCTAGTTTATCATTTCCTTCCTAAATTCAAATTATTCAGCTTCCCATTATACCCTTGAGAGCGAGAAACAAAAAAATAAAAATAAAAAAACCTCTTCTAATATTCAAGAAATTAGAGATTAATATTACCCTTTTAATTAAAGAAGTACCTAGATACTTATCAATTAATACTCATCTTTGTACTGACCATCAACAAAAATTTAATACCTTTATAAAGTAGAAAATAAAATTACATTTTTTTTCTACCGGTCAAAAAATTTAATTGTTGGACCATAACACATAATTATTTTTTTGCCAGCAAATACTTGTTTTTCTTAATTAAATAAGAAAGAGAAAAAGAAAAAGGCTAGACAGCCACGATAAATGATAAAGCATAGGTGGGGATACTAACAGCTAAATGCTACCCATCAAAAGGATCAGAATTCAAAAGTGTCGTAACTCAAACTTTCCAAAAATATACTTTGCTGTAATAATACATTTTCTCAATTGTTGCTCTTAAACATGTTAAATCAGTGGTAAACTCAAAATTTTAGTCGATGCATTAAGATAAATTTAATCATATATCAACATTCTCTTTCGCTTGCCTGATTTAGAAATTTGCACAAGACCCAATAAATAAAAATCAAGAATTTTATACTGTCTTGAACCTGTTAAATCACCAACAAACCTAAAAATAAGCTAGTGGATTAGAGTAAATTTAATCATATATAGATATATCAATAATTTGACGGTTCTCAATGGTAATTAAATATTAATAATTATCTTAGAATTTTCAAATCTGCACTCTATATTTATGATATTATATATTGTGGAAAAAAAGTAGTCTAAATAATATAAACATATACAGAGACAACAAATTAATGCACGAAAATGTGAACATCTGATTTGAGTCCATGGAAAAAAAAAAGTTTTAAATGTGGAGCACAACTTGGTCAAACTACTAGGCAGTAGCTGTTATTCCCACCCGAAAATAAAAATAAACTCTCATTTATTTTTTCTCTTTTTATTTTGTTTGAATTTTGAGTAACTGGATGGGTATGTAGTTGGGATGATAAACAAATATAATTCATATAATTTATAATTTTAGGAAAAAAAGATATCACGAAGCACTTTAATAACACAATAGTAAAAACTTAACACATATTTTCATGTTCCTTTTATTTCAATTAAAGTCATTCATACAAAATACTTGTTAATTAATGGTTTAAACTTTAAAGTATAGTCAATTTGATGGATGGACTGGTATATCAACTAAAATTACTATAGCTTTAAATTAATGGTACAAGAATATCATATTTTTTTAATTGAATTAAAAAAATTAAAAGCTATTCATTGCAATACTTTTCAGTTCTTTACCCATCTTTATTTTAAGTACTGTTACCCACTGAACCACTCATAGTATCACTTTTTTTTATATTGAAAGTGTAGAAAGTTTGCTTGGGGGAACGTATGGCAATTGTGGGACTTGTTTGTTCTTTTTTTCCCCCTTTTTTTTAAATAAAGTGGCAGTTACATTTATGAATTTGGAGTGAATGATGTGGGGTAATGCTCGTAATTTTAATATATTTTTTTATTTTATTGGAGATTTCTATTCTTAATCCTACGTATTGTTTTTTTTACTACAACATGTTGGAGAGGGGATTTGAATTTACAACATTTTGGTTTGAGGAATATACAAATTACTATTGAGTTATGTTCGTTTTGGCTAATCTTGCGTATTGTTAAACTCCAAAAGAGGAAAATGTCAATGTAGTCACGGACTCACAATTGATAGACGTATTGAATTAGGTTGCATCAATATAATTGTACCCTAATAATAATTGGATGCATGTTCGAGAATCTTCATGTCTCTAATAACTACTAGATATAAATTTGAAATACTTTTTATATTTCTATCTTATAAGTCTAACGGTGTAAAATTATTAGGCACGTTGTAGTAGCACGAGTACTCTGCTGCTATTTCAATTCTCAACCATTATTTAACCTTTCGAGGCACTTTTCTTTTTCCTAGGATGCTTTTTGCATCACCTTTTTCTTTTCATTTTGTTCTTTGTTTCGCTATATAAACTTCTTGTGAGTGATTTTCTCAACTAATTTTCCAATTCCATCAAAAAGATTAATTAAAATAATCTCACTCATTATTCCACATATTCTCATACTAAAGCATGATGATATTTTGCATTTACTTGGATGTGTGTGTGTATATATATAATTTTGGTTATAAAGTTCCTAAGTTGAGCTTAAGTATTGTGATGCAAATATTCTCAAATATACCATATAGATCAAAATAATTTGAGGAATCAAAATCAAATGAATGTAAAATTTGGGAGATATTTAAGTTTTAAATATTATGTATTATGGGTCTCTTTGGTATACAAATTTGTTTATTATTTTCAGATTTATTGGATTAAATGAATTTAATATTTGTTTGGTAGTCAAAGTGAATATAGCTTAATTGGAATATATCTTCAACAAAAAATTGTGAGTTGGATCCTGCCTCCGGTACTAAAAAATATTTGTTTTTAAAAATTCTTTTTTGATTTTAGGATCCAAACATGGAAACAATATTTTTATGTTTTGAGTGAGGTTTTGAATTTGACGTTATAAAATCATTTAATTTTTGTTAAAATTAAACATGTAAACATAAATATATTATAAAATAATAATTATACAAATTTTATAACATATATGTTAATTAATTAATAATATTTTAGACTGAACTAAATATTTAGTTGGTAACTATCACTATTTATTGATATTCAATTTCCAAATCTGCTATCAAATACATATTAAAAACAATAAAAACATGAAATACAACCCTACTTTTCGATGAATATTTTAAATTTCTGTTTTGAGATCACCAACTAAAACATCTTGAAATTTTAATTCACAATTATTGATCAACGACTCGCGGATGGATAATGGGAAAATCTAGAAAGAGATGTTTATGGCGACAATTCTCTATGCTCGATGTCAAAATAAGAAACATTATTATATATATTGATGAAAACCAAAACCCTAATTACATAGTATCAATTCTAGGATTTTTCTCAATCCTCATAGGACCAGTGAATTGGTATCTCATCAGAGATGTGAGTGGATTAGGGTTTATAGATAAATAAATTATATGAGCCAAATTGGAGAAATTAAATGTAAATTGTGGGTGATCCTCCAAGATTAGTGGAGGAGTGGACATTATATTATTATTGTAGAGAAATGAAGATTATTGTGGTTGGTTTTGGGAAGGGTACAGTCCTTAGTTCTTAGGGCATCTGACATTGTCGGAGATGTTTTATGTATGATTGGGAGAAATAAAGACACTTCATTTTTTAATGAGATTTGGCATCTTATATCAACAAAAATTAAAGTGTTTTTTGTCTCTGATTTTGAAGGCTTACCCACCAAAATTTCACTTTTTCCTCATCTTCTCACTTTCAAAGATATATTAATTCTAAAAAAAAAAAAATTCCAAGTAGTCATCTTCTCGTCTAGAAACCTAAAATTTATCATGTTTATGAAAGGGATCGACGTGACCTGCAAAATAGAACAGCACTAGGACCAGTGTGACTTTTTTCACACGGGTTTTGATACTTAAGTCAGTATCGGAGAAGTCGAGTATGGAGAGTAGGATGTTTAGGCGTACCTTTAAGGTGCGGCTTACTTCGTTATTTATAGAGGTCAAATCCTAATCTCCCAAGGATTTATAGAAGTCTAATCTTAGCACCTTTAGGAGATCTGGACTTCTGGACTCATGTGTTCCATTATGGGCGTAAGTCGGATCGAGTGTCGAGATCGGACGGGGATTCGGATCGAACTGCATAGGAATATAACGATTATTTAAATATAAGGACTAAAACTATATTTATATTTAACTTTATTGTTTATATTTATCAAAATATAACGATTTCATCTAAGTTACATTATAAAAATTCTCACAATTATCTAAATATAAGGACTAAAACTATATTTCAACTCATATCATAAATATAAATATAAATTAGCTTTTCTTTTTACCCATCACCTGAAGTCAAAATTTCACTTTTTTTTCCTTTTTAATTATCTTGTTGTCTCAAAAAAGTAAAAATCAAGAGAAGTTACCCTAGGAGCCCATGCCTTTTATTTTATGAGAAAATAGCGTTAATCCCTTGAATGATTAGAAATCATATAACATTCCAACATTGGCAAGCAAACACTACAAGATGGACTTTTAAAAATCATATAACATCCCACTATTTCCTCATTGTTCTATTTGAAATTTGTTATTCAATTATTCAATTTCAT